CACAGAGAAGGGGCAATCCTCACCTGGCTTCTGGCCCTCGGGTGCACGTGGCCACAGGCACCCTGTCCTGTTCCCTGGGTTCCACCACGTCAAAAGGAATCTGCAGGGAGACATTTCCCACCCCCAGCCTGTGGCCCCAGTTCTGTGCTTGGCTCTTCCGGAAGTTTCCTTGATGTTTCCCAGGAGAGCACCCTGCTGTTTCAGGTTTCCACAAACCCTGCTGTCTGAGGTTTAAAGTTGCAGAGCACCTGCTCCTTCACTCCCATCCAAGGACAGGATATTTTTGAATTTTTTGTTTTTTAAATTCATCATAATAGCAAGGCGTGTTGGGAGCAGTTTCTATCATTCCTGTTCGAGGTCCAGCCTTCGGAGCCTCTCTGTCTTCCTTCAGGCAACAGGGCAGACCCAAGCAGTCCTGTCCCCTTCCTCACTGGCAGGTGGGCCAGGCCTGTGCATCGAACTCCTCTGCCTTTCTGGAAGGAGGGTTTCTGGCTTTTCTTTTCTTGGATTTATTATTTTTTATTGGAAAGGCAGATTTACAGAGAAAAGGAGAGACAGAAAGATCTTCCATCACTGGTTCACTCCCCAAGTGGCCCAAATGGCTGGAGCTAAGCCAGTCAGAAGCCAGGAGCTTCTTTCAAGTCTCCCACATGGGTGCAGGATCCTAAGGCTTTGGGGCCATCCTTGACTGCCTTCCCAGGCCACAAGCAGGGAGCAGGAAGGGGAAGGGAAGTGGAGCAGCCAGAATTAGAGCAGGCTACTGTGCCAGGCCCAGGTTGCTGATTTCTAAGAGGCTCATTGTCTCAGTGATAGCCAAGGGCCTAGGGTGCAGGTGAGGCATGTCCAACCCAACCCCCTACCATCTTCTCCAGTGCCCTGCCCGTCTGCTGTCTCCTGGGAGAGACTCTGGTGCCAGCTCCAGGACTGTTGGGCTCACTTCTGCAACGGTGTATGTGATCAGATTCCTATTGAGAATGAGACAGGACCTCGGGGTAGGTTGTGGTTTTTGTCTCAAATGGACGTCGGTCTGCTTCCCTTGAGGCTGATCGTGTGCCTGTGTCTCTGAGGTTATCAGCTTGACCCTCAGGAGTCCTGCGTCTTCCCACTGCAGAAACATGGGACCTGCTTTTCTGCACCCTCTCTCTCTGCTTGGATGTCAGGCCTGTGCGCCTCCTTACAGAGAATTGGCCCTGCCACCCGAATCAGACCTGCCCTGCAGCCAGAAGTCTCTGGGTCCAGCAAGCCTAGCAGGTGGCAGCGTTTCCAAACTCTGGGAGGATGTGTTAGCTATGTTCTGGGTGACAGTTTCTCCTTTTGGTTGCTTATTTTTGAGTGCTTGGATTCAGCAATACACCACCAGCTATAGTCAAGAGTATATGAGGTTTCTATGTTCTCAGTGGTAGTGAGGGGGAGGGGAAAAAGGGTATGTCAAGCAAAAGCAGCACAAGAGTAATGATATTGCAAAGGGGTGCAATGGCCATTGGAACCTGTAGCTGTCTGCCATGAGGGAGGCTTTTACAGAAACCCCCAGAAGACCTTGCAGGTGTGTGCCAGCCATGACTTTGCCAGCGCTTCCATACCTTTAAACCACAGCTTCTCAACCTTGGCTATAGTATTGCAATCACCTGAAAGACCATGAAAGATCACAGGCTGAGGTGGCATGGCAAACCCAATGACTCAGAAGCACCTGGTTGGGATCTGGGCATCTATGTAAGTTAAAGCTCCCTGGGGGCATTCCAGCCAGCAGCCAGGGTTGGGAATTCGTGTGTGAGGCAGAGCGCCCCTACTGAATCCTGGCCACAAGGGCGTCCTGAGTTTGCCACTGCTTAGGCGGGCAGGGGTCATGAGGCAGAGTGGCTGCTGCACCCCAGCCACAGCTGATTCGGGGCAGTAACTCCAACCTGATGCCTGGGTGATGCATCCACACAATCTGATGTCACCTGGTACACGCTGAGGATCGCCTATGGGGGAGATCCTAAGCGGAACATGGGACTGAGTGCTGGCCCAGCCTGAGAAGTCGGGTCTGTGCTGTTAAAAAGTGCTTGGGGAAGGCAGAAATTCAGGAACCTGTGGACACAGGACTGTGTAATCCTCCCAAAGCAATGAAACTCTGCTGCCAGATTCACAGTAAAGCTTCCAAGCTGTGTGTGCCCAACAGTGTCTTGGCTGTTAGCAGGATGGTGCAGCTGCCTCAAGGGGTCATTATCCTCAGATTCATGGTAGCATCAGCTTCTCATTCCAGGGGAGTTTACAGGACCTATGGAGGTTACCTTGCCTGCCCTGCTTGCAAACAGGGGAGTGGCTCAGGACCAGAGCAGTCTAGGACCACCCACAAGTCACACAGCCAGAAAGGGGTCAGCCGGGGCTGCAGGCTGAGCTTAGCTGCCAAGTGCTGCACTCTCTCTCCTCCCAGGCTGGCAGGAGCAGGCCTTTGCCTCTGACCCCTGCTTCCTCAAGAGGCTCCTGACACAACAGGAGGGGACAGCAGGGGACCTGGGACCTCAGGAGGAGGGGCAAGGGCAGCAGGAGGTGGCAAGCACAGTACAGTGTGGCACTTATGCCAGAGGCTCTCCCCCTTCTCTTCATCCTCCTTGGCATCTCTCTGGCACCTGTGACTCCAGCTCAGTCCCCGTGTTGACAGGGGAGGTCAGACTACAGTGCTCAGCAGTGCCGGCCACTCTGTCTCCAGCTTGTATCAGAGATTAAGAGAATAAATTTCTTTTCCTGGATAAGGGCTTGTTTTGTATGTTTGATTTGTTTTGTCTTCCTCTTTGTCTCAGATTTTGGGTCCGAAGATGCTCAACTCCAAAAAACAAACCTCTTGTGACCCAGCCTCTGTGTTGCCAACCTGCCCCTCACCCAATCCCATCCCACCCCCTGCCACCTCTCCTTCACCATCTTTTCATGCTTCCAAGCAAACCTCCTGTTTCCAGTAGCTGGAAAGAGAGTGTGAAAGAGCCACTTGACCTTCCTCCTCTCCCCCACTTCCTCTGACTCCTGCTGTGCACCTGCAGCAGGAGCCCAGGTGGACCAAGAGCCAGGACAGGGGAAATAACATCATTCCTTCAGCCATCTCTGCCAGCACCCACCTCTTCCGAAACCTAGGTCCTGCCCAGAAGATGTGGGGTGAGGACGTGGCGGGGGATCCCCCCTCGTCTGCCTCTCTCTGGGGTCCCTGCTGCCCTCTGGGGAAGGGAGCAGCCTCCAGGCCCAAGTATGTGGCCTTCGCAGGAGCTGGGAAACCCTTTCCCACAGCAGCCAGGGACAACTGCGTGCATTTATTTCACCTGCATCTTTCTTTTTCCCCCTCCAACAGCCCTATTACCATATTTAAATGCAAGTATGTCTCTTTCATTGACATTTTCAGTAGCTTAGCCTGGCCTTTTTAGAGTAGCTTGTTCCCTTTGAACTCTGCCCTCAGTAGTACTGTGTAGCTAGGACAATAGTCTTAGAATGTAGCGGGCTTCTAGTTGGCACTGTCTGGGGGACCACTCTCATTCTTCCCTCCTCTGCTCCCTGCCCTTCGTGGTGCATGTCCTCCTCCCTCTTGTCTTGGAGAAATCCCGCTGTATGAATGGCCCGGTGGCTGAAGTGGAGCAGCTCCATTGGGGGCTGCTTGTTAAGTTTGCAGCTGGCTTCTGGCACATCATTAAGACCACAGTCATTGCAAAGGGGCCTTGCAGTCAGGCCCCCAGGTGAGCCTGGAAGGCAGGGAACAGCAGAGGGGTGTGTGTGTGTGTGTGTGTGTGTGTGTGGCTCTGTATGTGCCTGCTGGTGCCCGGGAGAAATCGGGGGAGGCACTTGGCTCACCTCTTCCTTCCTCTGGGTGTTCTGTAGCCTCATGGTGTCCCTCTGGCCTCTGACTGGACCTATGGCAGGGATAATGTTGCTGCTCGGTACATTTGCAGAGAGCACAAATGTTGATAAAGAAGGAATCCAGAGACCCACCTTCCCCCAGAACCTCCAGTGCCAGCTTCCTTTGAACTGGGGGCTTCAGTCAGAGGAGCCCCAGCTCCAATGAAGATGAGGACTCACCCCACAGCCCGCCCCGCAGCCCTCCAATCTCCCTTCCCTGCTCTTCCACAGGAACATGCAGTCGCCTAGGGACGAGAGAAACACACACATACACATACAAGTGCACGCAGTCACAAGGGGAGAGAGACGTACACACACACACATACAGATGCACGCAGTACCCTGGGGGAGAAAGACAAACACACACACACACACACAAGAGGTGCACACAGTCACCTGGTGGAGAAACACACATGCACACACAGGTGCATGCAGTCACATGGGGAGACACACAGATGCACACAATCACCTGGGGGTTTAAAAGACACACACATACACACACACACACTATTGTACACAGTCACCTGGAGGAGAGAGAGACACATTCACACACACCCCATCTGATGCTTTAGTTTTTGGCTAGGACAGGAGTCTTAGAATGTTGCAGGACACTGCTGGGACCCTGCTGATGTGAGGTTTTGACAAAGTCTAAGAGTTCAGAGGCCTGCCAGACCTGCAGAGGTGTGCAGAAGAGCTGTGGTTGACCTGTCCCCTGGCCAGGTTACTAGTTCTGTTAGGAGGTCAACCCCAGCACCTCCTGCCTTTGGCTGAGCACACAGCCTGGAGATCCTGCACAGAGCTCCAGCACCAAGCGACAGGCCCTGCAGCTTGCACAGCCGGTTCTTGTGCATCCTCAGCACAGGGCTCAGCCCTGGGCCTCGGGAGAGAGTTGTCCTCACACCCTTGCACCGTCTCCGAGGGCCTTTCAGAGCCAGTGTCTGGGTGACATGTGGAGCATACTCACCTGACCCTGCTGTGCCTCCCAGAAGCCTAAAGTCACTGCCCCATCCTTGTCTCCCACCCCCACCCCCAGACTGCCATGCAAGTCCCTTTCCGTGCCTGTTTTCTGTGTGGAGGGGTGGAGTGGCCGGGTGGACAGGCCCTGCAGGGATGCCCTCATCACTACCACTCCCCTCTCTCCCTAGGCTTCCCGGCAGCAGCTTATGGACCAGTGGCAGCAGCGGCGGTGGCAGCAGCCCGAGGATCAGGTAGGGAGGTGTATGGGGCAGGCGGCTCCCAGGCATGCCCAGTGTGCAGGGAAAGGTAAAGGCGCTGTGGGTCTATGTGGCTGTGTCTGTCCAACGCTCCTCTCACCACAGCCCGGGCGGGGCCCAGGCCGGGACTGTCCCTGAGACTGCAGCCCAGGGGGTGGGGCAACTCCCGTGGGAAAGAGAAAACTGGCTGGCTCCTGGACCCTGAGGGCCTTGGCTTTCACTGGTTCCATAGGCTCCATTCTGCTGGGCTCTGAGCCAGCCAGGGGAGGAATGAGGGTACCTCTTTGTCCCCTTACTGCCTCTGGCAGGTGGGGTTGCCCATCTGGCTGGACGCCAGGGCCCTTGCAGGCCAGGTGGGATTGACCCTTTGCCCTTTTGCCTCCCAGACTTCCCCACTGAGTGAGGTTCTGGGCTTCCCCTGCTATGGAGCTCGGGGCTTTTTCTCCCCATAGGCGGCCCCAGTCCTGCTGTCTCTAGTGGGACCTTTTAGAAGCCTAGCACCCCAAGAACAACATGGTAGGCTCGGGGGAGGGGGCTATCTCAGCAGGGTGGTGGGTCAGGCCAGGACTAAGGCAGGTCCCTGCAACCTTTTCGTTCTCCCCAAAGTGTCCCAGCTCCTGCTCTGGTGCCAGGCGCCCTCCCCAGCCCACTCAGCCCTCAACTCAGAAGCCTTGGCTTGCAAACCTGTGCCCCACACCCTGTGGGCAGGGCCCTGGGTCCCCAGGGAGGCATTTAGTGGGGATGTAATGGGGCTCCAAGGGGGGGTGGGGCTGGGCGGAGGTCTGGTGAGGAGATGCCAGAAAGTGGAGCATCAGAGGCCCAGAGAGCAAATATCAGAGAGCAGAGCCCTAGGTGACAGGCTGGCACAATGAGGCCCATCAGAAAACGTCAGTCAAAATCCGTTCCATGCAAACTGGCACTGCCTCGGAGCTACAAAGGACCCCTTCCCCAAATCGTCTGCTGGGGTTTTATTTGGAGGGACCAGGGTGGGGTCCCTAAGGGATGCTGGGGGGGCAGTCTGCCAGCAAGCAGGTTGAGCAAGCTTGGTGCCCTCAGCTCCACTGACCATGGCCAACACCAGTGGCTCCTCCTGCTCCCTGGCCAGTGTCCTTCCACCACCTCCCTGTCCCCCAGCCCTGGGCATGGGGTGCACAGGTGCCTCATGTCTCCCTGTTCTGTTTGTTTTTTTCAACTTGAGTGCTTTTTGGTATCACGACAAAAAAGCCTCCTCCTCTCCCTTACCTGTGCCTGGGTGGGGGAGGAAAAGTGGTGGGGTGGGATGGGGGCGGTACAGAAATTTAAAACAAAAGAAAAATCTTTGGAGATTTTTGAGTGCTGCTGGTTGTCGTTTTCTCCGTTCAGTTTCTCTCTTTTTGTAACTTGGATTATGAAACTAAACTTTAACCCAAAATTAACCCTGCCTTTCTCCCTACCCCACCCCGTTCTCCTTGACTTCATGGCAAGTTTAAAGGGCAGCATGGGGTTCTTTGCCAGTCGGAGAGCTAGAGCGGTCTGTGCCCTCCCCCTGCCCTCTCCCAGACCCCGAGAGTCAAGAGGGAGTCTGACCCTTCCCCCTAACCCCTAACCCCCAAGGTCATCTCCCGCCACGCATTTTTTTTTCAAGGCTCAGTGGTGTTTTATTTGTAGCCATTTCCATCGGGAGCAAGAGCTCCCACAGACCATCCAAGGTCAGCCATGCTCATCACAGCACTGTTAGTGAATTGTATTCAGGAGTGTGCTTCCTGACCACCTGCCCTACCAGCCTGGGTTAGTGCCAGGAGTAAATCCTCAACTCTGAGGTGCCTGTCTCCCCACCGCCCCCCCAGGAAGCTAGAGGACAGCCCCAAGAGCTGCCTGGGGTACCTAGGCATGCAATGATAGCCAGACAGAACCCGCTGCAGGCAGAACAGCACCTGGGTTGGAGGACACCTGCCTGTAGGTAGACAGGTAGGGGGCCTGTCACCTCCCTCCTCCTAGAAAAGCATGTAGATGCCAGGCCTGGTGGGTTGACCGGTTGCCTGCCTATGCTGGGCCTTAAATGGTAGAAGCTCTTAGAGCTGCACAGATTTACTTGAATATGTGCAGCAGTCAAGGCCACAGGGAAAGAGGTTCCTTCATCCTCTGAATAGGAGCCTCAGCTTTTGGAAGCCAACACAAACCCAATGCATGGCTCAGGGGAGAGACTGCTGAATACCATGATTCTGGTACCATGCTGTCCCAACACATGACCCCCAACATGGGAAATGTAGCCTCTGTTCCCCCAGGGGCCTCCAGGCTTGGATTAAGCATCTTGAGGGTCCTCCCTCTTTTTTTTTTTCTTTTTTGTCTTTATGTCTAGCTCCATCATTTTGGGTTTTTTCCTTCCCTTTCCACAATAACCTCCTGGGGTAAAGAAGCACATGAGGAGGGCTGGGACAGGAGGCAGCTTCAGTGTGGCTCAGAGCAACAGCTGGCATCCGTTAGGGCTGTGGTGTCAGGGTGGGAGGTTCCAGGAGGTTCAGCACCCACCTCAGCCCACTCCTCTAGGCCAGCCTGCCCACCTGTTTCTAACTCCCCCAGCAGCTGAGCAGAGCAGGGCCAGGGGAGGTCCCGGCCAACTCCTAGATAACTTCACTATCAGTGGTCACCTTGCTTTCACCTTCACCTGGTAGCTTGAGACATCATCTTTTCTTGTGCTCAGTCAAGAGTTTGTTTATTTTGATCGTATTCATTCAGTTCCAGTGACCCTCCCCCCCAATCATGTCCTCCCCAAATCCAAATCCAGATCGGCAAATGACTCCCCTGCCCTCCACCCCATCACCACCCGCATGGGCAGGGGAAGTGCTTCGGATCTGCAGGCTATTCTGTCTCGGGGTGCCATTTGGCAGTGAGTCTGTGGATGAGTCTCAGAGCTGCCAGGCCCCCGCCCCTGGCAGCCCCCTCCAGCCCTGCCTGTCTCCGGCCCCAGCCAGGACCCCTTACTGTACTTTATACTTGCCACCTTTATTCCAGTCTAGTGTCGTGAGCGCCCGACGTGTGGTGAGTGTGAGCAGTCATATTTCTGTTGTCTTTTCTCTTGCTTGGTTGGGGCTGCGGTGAGAGTGGCTCTGAGGCATACTTTCCTGCCTCTCTTACACTAGGATCTGCACACCTCCTCTCAAACACTCTTCTGAGCACGCTCAGCGGGAAGGTTTGTCCACACCTATTAATCCTCTCTCAGTGTCCAGCTTCCTGTTAGTACCAGCTGGTTTGCATGTTTTTGCTTGTTCAGATGAAACAGTTCAAGAAACAAACTCATATCCAGTTCTCAAGAAATGTCTTTTTTTGTACACTTTCGTTTTCGATTTTTTTTTATTAGTCACAACTCCAAAACACCTGTTGTCCAGTAAAACATTTCACACCTCCCCTGCCTGTTCTTAGATTGTTATGTATCTGTGGGACTGAACTAAATGCATGCACTGTAGTAGATGTCCTGGTAGCTGTAGCTGTAGTTGTAGAACATGCATTGTTGAGTTGATATTACAGGGTTCCCCACGGCTCAGCACAGCACGGCCGGCTGCAGGCTAGGCGGGGACCAGGAAGAGAAGGGGCTCCATCTTGTCCACGTTGCCAAGGGGCTTGGATCCATGTTCTCGCCATCAGCCACCACCACCTCCCCTCACACTCCCTGCTCCCCAAGTCCAGAACTGGATCACCAACCCCCCAGCTCTAGCCTCCTTGCCCAAGATCTCTGTTGACATCAGGGTCCTTCTGGCAGGACCATAAATGGAACCAAGATTGAAAGGCGTCGGAAAGCTCCCACTTGTTTCTGACTTCCTCATGGTGTTCTTGAACATGGCAGGTCTTTCGTTGTCTCAGAAAGCCTCCCAGTGCAGGCCCTCCAAACCCCCCATTCCCTGAGTTCTTAGGATGCTTTCACCCTGCCCTTTGGCAGCCCTGTGTATATCATCTGCCCCTTGGTGCACTGTTGAGGAAGAGAGAAGATGAGGAAAACATGGGCTGTAGAGCTCGCCACCCCCAGAACACGGGTGGGAAAATGAAACAGCAGCTCTGGGGAAAGAAGCTGTGGCAGTGGGTAGCAAGCTCGAAGTGCACAGGGTCAACTGCCACCAGACAGAAGGAGGACACCTAAGCACAGGTAGAGGAACCAGGAGGAGCTGTCCTTTGGCTCAGCCTTCCTTGGGTTTTGGGCAGTGTGAAGGAGGCAGAAGGTGTGACTGCAACTGTCAGGCCTCCAGGCTGCTGAAGCTGCAGATTAAGCCAAGGCTTAGGAACAGGAGAAGAGGTGAGACCAGAAGGCAAACAGAATGGAAAATCCCCTCCCTCTGGCCTACATCCTGGGTCTGGCTCTGCTGCTCTGTGGCTGGAAAGCCTCCCCACGCTGGCTAAGGCAGGTAAAATGAGCCAAAGTAAAATTCAAGGCAGAGGATAGAAAGTGTAAGTTCACCTGAACCAGAGCAAAACATGCCTTCAGGAGGAGATGTGTTTCCGGAAGTGAACATGCCCATCTCATCCCACCCCCTTTGGGGTGTTGCTGCATTCCCCAGTGTCAGCCTGTGGCTGACGCTGAGGGGCCAGAGTGTCACACCTGTTCTTGGAGTTGACGGCAGCATCTTGGTGCCACGCCCCTGTGGTGTAAACTTGGAGGTTCCCAGGTTTGCCTCCAATAAGCAGTTCTTGGAGCTTTGCTTTATATCAGGCACCAAGTGGCATTAAGGTAGGGAACACTTTACAGTGTTCTGAGCATCTGGTCTTGGCTTCTGAATGTCCCTGTTGTCTGGCTTTTCTCGCCTGAAAGTGACCACAGTCAACAGGAAAATGGATCAATAGGTACCGTTCGTTACTCTTGCACATGGCTTTGCTGCATTGCCGCCAGCAAGGTCCCATAGAGAACTGAGAAGGAAGAATGGGAGGGCAACCACAACTACCATCCCCATTCCCACCATGGCCTCTGTGGGCTGTGCTCCCACAGTGGTTCATCCTGGGCCATGATCTGTGTGGTCGTTCTCACCAAG